GGCCGGCCTTACAACCTGCGCCCCGACATCAAATCTAGCACAACGTGCATGGCGTGCACACGTACTCCGAAGGCAATTAAGTACCGGCGTCGTCACCAAAGCACGGTGCATCCGCGTTCACATGGTCCTTCGAACCGGATTGGAGTGTTAGAATCAATTTGACATCCATTCGCACGGACTCCACGGAGTTCGGAAAACAACACCGACACGGCTTTACAACACGTGTCGAATAGCAAGTCTTGGCCTACATTCACAACCAACGGATAGGCTATCCAAGCCTAGGGTAACATCGCCTGGGTTGAGGCATCCACAACAGCTTCACCTCACTTGAATGTTGAGAGTAGGGAAGGCACCAAATAAGAGCAGCCGAGTAGCGTCGAATAGAAGTCTTACAACCTTGCGGCGCAGCAAAAAACATTGCCCCAGCAACCGAGCACAACAACCAGGTTGCCACACCAGCCAAAATCAACACAGTTGGCAAGAAAAATTGATTCAATGTGCAATGAACAAGGTGCGATTGGTACGGCAATAAAATCTTTACGAGAACATGCGGAAGTCGCTACCACTCGAAACCAACTAAAGGTAACTCAATTAAAACTTACTTTTATTAATTACTAGCTGACCCGGCAAACTTTGTTCCGCCTCGCTTTACTAACACGGCGCTTTTCATGTGCAATTTGTTGTTCTTCTTCAGTCCTTTCATTCGCAATCTTTTAAATTCTACTTGCATTACGGTTTTGTCTGATAAGATTTGATCGTTTTGATCGCTGCATGTTGAGTGAGGAAACTACGAAGCATCGCACGAAGACGAGACGGAGAAAACTCGTTTAGTATCTTCCAAAAAAGTTTTCACTTCAAAAAGTATTAAAAAAAGTATCCTACCCTTACTAAGTCTTATTAAAACAAACACATCAACCGGGCACCTTCAACCAACACGTACAAACACACGCACGACTATGCTTAGGGAGAAGCTACGAATCGCACAATGAGGAGAGGGAGATAACAGAAAACATTATATTTGTGTGCTCTTTTTCTCCCGTAGGCTAAACCATATAATCGAATATGTTCGTTTCCTTTCAGTGTCGTTTAGTGTTTTCTAAAGAAGTTTTCACTTCAAAAAGTATCCTAGTAACCTTCTCCATGCAAAAACAACAACCGGTCGACTTCAACCCACACGTACACACGTCTATACTTAGGGGGAAGCTACGAAACATCGCACAAAGAGGAGACGGGGATAATAGAAAACCTTGTATTTGCGTTCTCTTATTCTCCCGCAAGATAATCCATATACGCGAATATGTTTGTCTCTTTCTAGTGTCGTTTAGTGCCCTTTTAGAAAAGTTTTTATTTCAAAAAGTATCCCATTACCTTCTCCTGGCCCTAAACTACCTCTCCACCAATTTTTAGCTAAATTGAATTAGCCGTTCTTTAGTTATAAAGGAATTAACCAACACGACTTTCTTTTATATATATAGATGAGCAAGCGCTCAAGCAACGGACGCCAAAATGAAATTGGCGAACCCGCCAAGTCACGTGTACTTTGCAGACAACGTGATAAAAAAATGGAAGCGCTATACAAAGAAATCTGCATGATGCTGGATGAACAAGAGCCAGAACCTGATCCCATATTGAAAAAGTTAAGCAATCGTCTTAGACGTCTTGACAATTCAATCACCACCTTCTCGAGACATCGAAGGAGCAATCCGCCGACATTCACTTCAGAGTATTATAAAGAACTAACAAAATACTAACCTAGCCGAAGAAAATTGTGGAAGATTTATATCTAGATCTGTTAGACGACGCCTGCGAGATACCAACCAACGATCAGAAGATGGTTGAGAAATGCATCCAAGAGGTTCACGAAGTTCTAGCCCACCTGCCTGGAGATCGCGTGGTATTTCAAACCCCAGGTCCAGCAGTGGCGTCCAGAAATCCACTCATTCAGTTTCCGATGGCCACAATTCCGATATTTGATTGTGGCTACGAGAAATGGAGGTCGTTCAGAAACTTATTTAAAAAGATTGTAATTGAGTGATGCTGAACGACTTAAGTACCTAAAGATGAATGTGAAAGGTGAAGTGGCTCGATTAATCAAAAATTTGGACATTGAAGACGTGCACTCCACCCCAGCCTGAACGACATTTGAAAATCGATTCAGTAATTGTCGCAAATTATTCGATAACCTGATGGAAAAGGTAATCGAATACCCTTGATGCAAAAGCAAATCAGCGGATCATCTTAAGTCACTCGACAATTTGTCCTGTATGGACTTTATGCAAGCTTCTGAAAACCTTGAGCAACAAACAAAAACATTTACCTGTTTGCCTATCTATTTGCCTATTTTATTATCAGCAAATGGGATACAGAGGCTGGAAAAATCTTCGAACAAATCGTCACCAGCATGCATCAAATCCAGGTCATCGACATGGTATTATAATTCATGGAAAGAAGATTCGAAGCATTAGAGACAGCTCAAAGATCAAACACAATCGTCATCAATCAGTACATCAGTAGAAATGCCCAACAAACTGGCAAGCAACACATGTGAATTGTGCAATGATCCACATCGTTCTTTGTAAAACTGCACAAAATTTACAAAGATGACGAACGAAATAAATATGAACAGGAAAAAAATATTTGCAAAATTTGTTTGAAGAAACATGAGCAACAATGTAGATCGTTTTGGCGATGCAGTAATGTAAACTAGAGCATCACACGCTGCTTCACAGGGAAATGAAAGCGAAATCTAGGGGTACGCTAACAGTTATAGCATCATTGTCGTCTACAGCGGATCACGCTCCGGAAGGTATGAAGTTACTATCAATCGTCTTCATTAAAATTCCAAATGCACATGGAGAGATCTTCACATGCCGTGCACTCCTGGATACAGGGTCGCAAACATTATTGATCACCGAAAATGCAGTAAAGAAAATCGGATTGGAAAAGACGGCCACGTATGGACAAATCAATGGAGTGGGAAATGGTGGTGCGCAAACTGTCAAAGCAAAGGTTCTCGCAAAATTTCTTCCATATTTCACAAAAGATTGGGAGCTTACGGCTGAACTATACGGCCTACCAGAGCTGGTGTGTCCTCCGCCGCAGGAAACAATTAATGAAGCACTGTTTGGAACGATCGCACATTGGCTGACCCAAACTTCTACTGGCCCGCAGAAATCGACAAATCGACAACTAGCCATGTGTGTGGTAGGAGTGTATGAAGTGAAAAATGGTTATGCCCTGCAGAGCAGCAAATTTGGTCTTCTCCTCTCAGGTGGATACACAACACCGGCGGGGAATCGATTAATGAAAGCAACTACATGTGTACAGAGATATGAAAAGCTAGATCGCTGTCGCGTTCGGGAGCTCGAAGAAATTCAAACAAATCACACCATGACGATCGAAGAGCAGGAAATTGAGCAACACTTTCAAACAACCACGGTCCGCGGAGAGTTGGCAAATATTCAGTCAGCATTCCATTACGTACTGACCAATCTGTTGAACTTATGTTTAGTAAAGTTGAATTCGATGTTTTTCTGAAGTGAAAACTTTTCTAAAATGGCACTAAACGACACTCAAATACAAACACAAATACAAATTTTTCTATTATCTCCGTCTCCTCTTTGTGCGATTCGTAGCTTCCCCCTAAGCATAGACGTGCGTGTGTTTGTACGTGTTGGTTGAAGTTGCCCGGTTGAGGTGTGTATTTGAATAAGACTTAGTAAGTGTAGGATACTTTTTTTAATACTTTTTGAAGTGAAAACTTCTTTGGTAGATACTAAACGAGTTTTCTCCGTCTCTTCTTTGTGCGATGCTTCGTAGCTTCCCCACTCAACATGCTGCGACCAAAACGATCAAATCTTATCCGACAAAACCGTAATGCAACTGGGATTCGAAGGATTGCGAATGAAAGGACTGAAGAAGAACAAAAAATTGCACTTGAAAAGCGCCGTGTTAGTATGACTCGACTTCCTGCTTCTCAATCACAAGAGCAAAGCGAGGCGGAACAAAGTTTGCCGGGTCAGCTAGTATGTATATAAACTGCTGTATCATTGTCACTTTCACTTTTTCAGTTAGTGTTGCAATAAATCGTTGTTTTCAAAACTTGAGCTTGTGTTTTTCCTTAAGTAGAAAAACTCAATATGTTTAGAAAAACTTCAACAGGTTGTGGGCCCAGATAACGCTAGTAGCTCAAGTATATAGTAAAGACAAGAGTGTGCAAAGAAAATAGTTTTTTCTCATGCAGTTGTTGCCGAAGTGTTCTGTTTTAGGTGGAGTTTCGTCAACGCAGCATTGGATTGACCCATTTGGAAGAGAAAATAGCGTAATTTGTTAAACTATCATGAAGGCGCCGTTGACGTCTTTGAGGGGACGTTAAGCAGACCTGAGCCCATATCAGCTATGGCTACGGAGGAGGAAGTCAAAACGCATGAGAAGGCGTGTGACCTTTTTTGTAAGGCAAATAGTTATGCAAAATCAATGATTTCTAGTTCGGTGACGGATGCAGTTTACCAGAAAATTATGGACTAAGAGACACTTTTGAAGCATGGGAGGCGTTAAAATTAAATTTTGAAGCGTCGTCCAAAGATCAGCTCTTTAAGAAATGTACTGATTTTTTTGCATTTTGTTGGGTCAATGGAGAGGAAGTTTCACTTCAGGTTGCAAAATTAAGAAGTCTGTGGAATGAGTTGAATAATGGTTTAAAGTCCAAGAATTGGGCTGCATTACCAGACATGATACTAGTGTGTAAAATTTTGCATATTCTACCAAGTAACTTTGAAAATTTCCAGTCTAGCTGGTTGCGGTTTGTTTAACAATGTTTATTTAACTCGCGAAGGACTCGTTCGCGAGATCTAACTTAATAGATTTTCAAGTGCAAGTTCAAAGAGGTCAGAGTATAACTTAAGAAAGATGGCGTCCGGAATAGATTACAACACAAAGAAATACGGGCACGCACAACTTACTAAGCACTGAGGGTCAAAATACTCACAGATAACTCAGGATGACGATTCGATGGAAACAAGACCGAGACGCTCTCGGCTGGCCCTTTTATTTGCACCCTCATACTCCCTCTCAGCGGCCCATCATGGCGTCGCGCAGGAAGTACGAGTGGCGACGCAATACATAAAAAACTTATACTAAATAACAAACTTAACAACCCTCATCACAACCCTCTAAGCTAGATAGCGCCACTGCTACACTTAGTTCAAAGCATACACATAGCACTGCAATGCACTGCCCAAAACACTATTTTCAAAAGATGATGATAAGACGGTTGAAGAGTTAATCACCCAAATTTTAAAAAGGTCACAGAAGATGCTCCCGTAGATGCTTTATTCGCAAGAAGTGCAAAAATAAAACCTATTAGGAAGTCCAGGAAAAATGACAATTGTCATTATTGCAAGCAAAAAGGACATTGGAAGACACAATGTCAGAAGTGGATTTCTGATGGACGACCGAAGAAGAGTATTCCTCAGGGCAACACTGTGAGTACCAATGTAGTCTTGGGTGTCACCGATAAAGATATGCTTCAAATGGAGACCAGTTCTTCGGCAGATACAGGATGGTGGATCGACAATGGAGGGACGAAGCACCTTGAAAAAAAAATAATAAAAAATGAATATAATGCCTTTTAAAAAAGTTTTCACTTCAAAAAGTATCCTATTACCTTCTCCTGGCCCTAAGCTACCTCTCCACCAATTTTTAGCTAAATTTGATAAGCCGTTCTTTAGTTATAAGTGTAGTAACTAAGTCGACTTTCTTTTATTTATATAGATTATGGTCGGCCAGATCTCTTTATTACTTTTACCTGTAATCCAAAATGGAAAGAAATTGTTTAATTACTGCTTCCTGGACAAACATCAAGTGATCAAAATATCACAACACGTGTATTCAGGCAAAAAATGCGCTCAATGATGAACTACGAGTATATTGTTAAACAACGCGTGTTTGGAGATACTCGATGTTGGATGTATTCAATCGAATGGCAAAAACGAGGCCAGCCGCACGCACATAATCTTATTTGGTTAGTGGAAGGAATTCAACCAGAACAAATAGATGATATCATATATGCTGAAATTCCCGATGACGAAACCGATCCAGACCTACATAATGTCATAATCACAAATATGATTCATGGACCGTGTGGCCCCATCAATTCCAATTCACCTTGCATGGTCGATGGCAAATGTTCCAAACGATATCCACGAAAATTAACGGCAGAGACTGTCACAGGCAACGATGGTTATCCACTGTATAGGCGTCGATCACCCGATAACAACGGTCGGACTATCACAACAAAAGTTAAATTAATTGATTTCGTGGTCGACAACAGTTGGATTGTTTCATATTTGCCACTTCTTTCCAAAACGTTCAAGACACATTGTAAGGTTGAGTATTGCAATTCAATAAAGTCCATAAAACATATCTGCAAATATGTCACGAAAGGCAGCGATATGGCAGTTTTTGGCACCCAACCCTCCGAAATATGAAATTGAGCGCTATCAAGTTGGTCGGTATGTAATCTGCAATGAAGCGATTTGGCGAATATTCGCATTCCCTATTCACGAACGTCATCCAACTGTTGTGCATTTGGAGAATGGTCAAAGAGTATATTTCACAGCTTCAAATGCTATTCAAAGTGCTGAAACACCTCCAGCGACAACATTGACCAGTTTTTTTGCGATCTGCCAAAGCGATACGTTTGCACGAACTTTGCTTTACTCGGAGATGCCACGTTATTACACTTGCAATGCTTCATCGAAGAATTTTCAAAGACGGAAGCAAGGCGATGCGGTTCCTGATTATCCGTATGTACGTTCTACTGATGCTCTGGGTCGTATATATACATCCAGAGAATGATGAATGCTTCTATTTGCGGTTATTGCTGGTAAATGTGTGTGGGCGAAAATCATTTGAGTCACTACGAACTGTTAATGGTACAATATTTCCAACATATCGTGCTGCATGTGAAGAACTGAATTTACTAGAAAACGATGCCCATTGGGATACGACAACCGTTGAAGCAATAGGCATGATGACAGTAACAAAGAATCACTAAAAAGAAGATTTATATTAAAATATACAGTAGTGAGATTCTAAAAAACTCTTCCTTTAGATTAAAAGTGCGATTAAATTGATT